GAGAGGTTCAGGAAGTCCGCGAGAGGCTCATCCAGAGGGTGGTCGATGCTCACTGAGGGGGCTAGTGGCTTCCCGTCCCCACCGTCGTCTTCGTCTTCCTGTCTTTGGTAACCACCCCCACCTCCCCCCGGCGTCACCGGCTCACCTTCCTCCAGTGAGGGGAGAACGAAGAACCTCGCAGCAAGGGACAGGGGGGTGGGAGGTGCTACGTGAGCGGATTCCACAAGAATTCCCACCGCCCACCGGAATGCCCACCTTGGAAATTCCCCACCATCCCACCTCCCCCCCCACCCGGATCGAGCTGGGGAGTGCGAACTGGCAGGGAAGGAGATGGTTGTTGGGCGTCACTCGTCTCAGGTCCAGGACATCTCTGTGGGCGATGACCAGCTCCAACGAGAGAGAATCTAACCATTGGCCCCCCAAATGCTTGATGTTCAATGGTGTTACAATCACTGAATTCCCCCCCACCCCCCACTATCAACATCCTGGGGGTTATTGTCACCAACGAGAGAGAATCTAACCATCGCCGCGCGCCCCCCCCACCGCTTGATGTTCAATGGCGTTACCATCGCTGAATTTCCTGCCACTCCCCACTATCCACATCCTGGGGGTTACCATTGAGAGAGAATCTAACCATCGCTCCCCCCTCCCTTGACATTCAATGCTATCGTTGAATCCCTCAGTATCTAAAGAGCTTGTCATTGACTTCAAGAAGTAAGTGGGGGATTGGGGCGGGGGGGTGCATGCCCCTATCTAGATCAACGGACCTGAGGTGCAGAGTGTCGCGTTCCTGGGAGTGACGGTCACTGACAATATGTCCTGGACCTCTCACATTGATGCAACGATCAAGAAGTCACAACAACGCCTCTCCTTCCTCGGGCGGCTCGGGAAATTTGGCCTGTCCCGTAAGGTCCCTCACCAACTTCTACAGACGCACCATTGAAAGCGTATTGGCCTGGTACGGCAACTGCTCTGCCCAGGACCGTAAGAAACTACAGAAGATGGTGTGCACAGCCCAGACCATCATGGAAACCGACCTCCCATCCATGGACTACCATCTACACTTCTCGCTGCCTCAGAAAGGCGGCCAACATCATCAAAGACACCTGCCACTGGTTATAGTCTCTTCCAACCTCTTCCGGCAGGCAGAACATTACAAGGGCTTAAACACACACACCAACAGATTTAAGAACAGCTTCTTCCTCGCTGTTATTAGACTGCTAAATGGACCTCTCCGATTTTAAACCTGATGTTGATCTTGCTTTTTATGTATTGTCTTTGCAGCCGTTAACTTTGTGTCCCTTGCTCTGTTCAATCACCCTGTGATGTTTGTATGTATGATCTGCCTACACTACACACAGACCTTTTCACTCTACATAGGTATATCAAATCATAACAACGCGCTGGGGTTACCGTCTCCAAACGAGAGAGAATCTAACCATTGCCCCCCCCACCCACCTTTGACGTTCAATGGCGTTACCATCACTCAATCTCCCCCCACCCCACTACCAACAGCCTGGGGGTTACCCATTGAGCAGAAACTGAACCAGGACCCCCAGCCCCATATCAATCCTGCGGCTACAAGGAGCAGGTCAGAGGCTGGGAATCCTGAAGCGAATAAATCCCCTCCTGACTCTCCCCACCCCCTAAAGCCTGTCCCATCATCGACAAGGCACAAGTCAGGAGTGGGGAGTGGGGGAGGAGAACACCCCCCCCCCCAGCCGCCTGGATGGGGCACGGCTCCGACAACACTCGAGAAGCTCAACACCGTCCAGGGACAGAACAGCCCCCACCCCTCTCGATCGTTGCCCCTCTCCCACCTGCCACACTCCCTCCCTCCCCCCACCATCCCCCAACGCACAGCCGCAGCAGTGTGTACCGTCTGCGAGACGCACCGCAGCGACTCACCAATGGCACCTTCCGAACCCACCACCCTTTACATCTTCCCCACCCCCCAATGCTAGAAGGATGAGGGTTGGGGAACAGACCCATTAGAGGTCCATGCTTCCCCCTCCCCTTATCAAGCTTTGAACTAATCAGGTTAGAACCTCTCTGGAACAAAAACAAAGTTGCTGGAAAAGCTCAGCAGGTCTGGCAGCATCTGTGAAGGAGAAAACAGAGTTAACGTTTCGGGTCCAGTGACCCTTCCTCGCAACTTCCTGATTTACAGCATCCGCAGTTCTTTCGGTTTTTATATAGTAGTAGAACCTCTCTGTGTTTTGTTTAGCGAGTATATGTGAATAAATCTAGCCCTCCTCCCTCGAACCAATTTGTTATGTCTAGCGTGGTTATCCCTTTCAGCTCTTCAGTCTTGTACACGGGCTTCACGTATTGTTAAAATGTTTTTTTAAAAGAAAGCAAACTCTGATCAATAAAAATGACTGTATGCTTCAGCCACCTCTTACTGAGACTCCCAAATGACCACTCGCCATCCTAGTGTCCGTCCCATCTCGAATTGAGGGGCGCGCTACTCCAGTCAGAGATAACATATCATCGGGCTGTTAGGATGCGAAATTTCCTAAAGTTATGATAACCGCTGAGTGCTCGGCCCACACAAAGGAAGTCTGAGCAGAGACTAAATGCATTTGTGAGGAGGAAATCTTAGGATTGCAGGAGTCACATTGAGTCAGAGACTCGTACAGCACAGAAACAGACCCTTTGGCCCAACCTGTCTGTGCTGACCCAGATATCCTAAATTAATCTAGTCCCATTTCCCAGCATTTGGCCCATATCCCTCTAAACCCTTCCTATCCATGTCCCCATCCAGATGCCTTTTAATGTTGTAACTGTACCAGCCCCTACCCCCTTCCTCTGGCAGCTCGTTCCACACACGCACCACCCTCTGTGTGAAAAAGTTACCCCTCAGGTCCCTTTCCCCCTCTCACCTTAAACCTATGCCCCTCTAGTTTTGGACTCCCCCCTACCCCTGGGGGAAAAGACCTTGTCTATTCACCCTATCCATGCCCCTCATGATTTTATAAACATCTATAAGGTCACCCCCTCAGCCTCCAACGCTCCAGGGAACATAGCCCCAGCCTCTCCCTGTAGCTCAAACACTCCAACCCCAGCAACATCCAGGTGTTAGAGGAGATTGGGTCAATTAGGGATATAGGACTAAGTGCCGGTAACTGGGATTGGTGTGGGTTGGTCAGCATGGATATGATGGGCCGAAAGGCCTATTTCAATGCGCTTTGGCTCTGTATTCATTGGAGTTTGGGAGAACGAGGTAGTGTGGAGGATCTGAAAGAAACCTGTAACACATCTGGACAGGGGGGGAAAGTACGGGAAGGATGTTCCTGATGACTGGGGGAGGCGGTGGGAGTCTAGAACCAGGGGGTCACAGTCCAAAGGAGACGGGGTTGGACTGAGATGAGGGAGAAATGTCTTCACGCAAGGAGGGCCTGTACAATCCTATGCTACATAATGCTGGGACTCCCTCCCTGACGGCAGTGTGAAGGGTGTCCCTCACACACACACGTGCACGCAGTTGGGGGGGGTGGGGTTGCTGCAGCAGTTCCAGAAGGCGGCTCACCCCCACCTTCTCCAGGAACGGGGAGGTGCAATTAAGGACGGTGGCAAGGAGAGTGGTGGGCGTGTGGAATGCGCTGCCAGCAGTGGAGTCAGACACTGTAGAGACTTTTAAGCAACTCTCGGAGAGGCACATGGAAGACAGTAAAATGTAGGGCCAACTTCGACAAGGGAGCCTCCGAAATGTCCACATTCTTCCGCAACCGAGGATTCCCCAGCTCCATTGTCGACAGGGCCCTCAATTGGGTCCGACCCATCTCCCGCACTTCCGCCCTCACCCCTTCTCTTCCCTCCCGCAACAGCGATAGGGTTCCCCTTATCCTCACCTACCATCCCACCAGCAGCCACATCCAGAAGATCATCAGATGCCATTTCCGCCACCTCCAGACACATATTCCCCTCCCCGCCCTTGTCCGCCTTCTGCAGGGACCGTTCCCTCCGGGACACCCTGGTCCACGCTTCCTTCACCCCCAACACCTCCCCACAGCCCTACGGCACCTTCCCCTGTAACCGGCGAAGGTTCAACACCTGCACATTTACCTCCTCCCTCCCCACTATCCAAGGGCCCAAACATACCTTCCAGATGAAACAACACTTCACCTGCACTTCCCAGAATCTAGTCTACAGCATTCGCTGCTCACAATGTGGTCTCCTCTACATTGGGGAAACGAAGTGTAGACTTGACGACCACCGCAGAACATTTACGTTCTGCTCACAGAAAAAAGACCCTGAACTTCCCGTTGCCTGCCACTTCAATGCACCGCCCTGCTCCCCGGCCAACATCTCTGTCTCCGGTTTGCTGCAGTGTTCTAGTGAATCCCAACGCAAGCTGGAGGAACATCACCTCATTTTCCGCTTGGGGACCCTACAGCCCTCCGGACTCAATACAGAGTTCAATAATTTTAGGGCCTGATCTCTCACATGTCCCAACCCCCCAGCCCACCTAACAGGCCTTGTTACCACAGCCTGCCACTACACACCCCCTGTTGTTAGTCACTAACAGTCCCCATTAACAAATATTCACCCTCCCAGCCTGATCATTAGCAACTCCTTTGTCTGTCCAACTGTATTTCTCTCTCTTTGGGCTCTATCCTATCGTTTACTCCCTACCCCACCCACCTCCCTATTTTCTGCATATAAACTGACGTTTTCCCAGCCACCATCAGTTCTGAGGAAGGGTCACCGGACACAAAACATTAACTCTGTTTTCTCCTCCACAGATGCTGCCAGACCTGCTGAGCTTTTCCAGCAACTTTGTTTTTGTTCCTGATTTACAGCATCCGCAGTTCTTTGGGTTTTTAGAAAAATGTAGGGGATGCAGGGTAGATTGATCATAGGGTAGGATAACAGGTCAGCACAACATGGTGGGCCGAAGGGCCTGTACTGTGCTGTACTGTTCTTTGAACTCTGGGACAGACAGTAAAACCCACATCCCAGCGCATGAGTGAAGAAAATTGAAAGAAAAAAATGAGTTGCCATGTTCAGAGCGTGTGTTAAATTTAAAAATAAAACACACACAATTTTATTTCCCAGCTCCAGTTGCATTTTTTGTTTTCTTGCGAGTCACGTCTGGGCAGCCAGTCACCAAGAGGACAGGTCCCTAGCCACAGGGCATCTGCCGGAAACTCCAACAACACGTTCAAACACGCGCACTCGCGCCCCCCACAGCCATGCCCCTGCCGCGGAACCGCACCAACACATGTGGGATCGAACTGTGCCCAGAGCAGAGGGAACACGCAGAGAGAGAGAGAGAGTTGCGCAGCTTGTGGTCGAGATGAGGATGAGAGAGGAGTAGAGGGAATGTGACCATCTCACTTCTTGCCCGCTGCCCTCCCTTCCGCCTGAGCCAACTTCCTCTTGAGGTCCAGTAACGTTGAGACTTCTGCGTCGATCAGCGATTTATCTGCTTTCTGCGCCTTCAGATCGCGCACGCGGCTCCCCTGGAGGGAGGGAGGGAGGGTGTTTAAAAACGGAATCTCGCCGATCGCATCCACGTCAAACTAAAACCACCTCCCTCCCCCACCCCCCAACCAAAACAAAAAATACCTACTCTACAGCTCTAAGACTCTAAAAATCGAACATTACTGATGCGCCCGCCCCTGCGCTTAATTCTGAGCTCGATCCTTCCTCCCCACCCCCTACAAATCGACAGTGTGACAATACTGGAGCTTTAAGAGGTTGTTCTGTCCTGGTTTCTTTCCAGAGGGAGTTTGAACAGGACCACTTGAGCGCTCAGGTTGGGAGGCCTTAGGGTTATTTCTTTCCTCTCTAAAACATGCAGCCTGAATGGGTGTCACCAGCTCTCGCAGATTCACGTTTCAGGGTTTTAAACTTTTTCAGTAGCATCAGAAGCTATTGATCATAGGGTCTGTTTCCAAGCCGTGCGACTCTTCGGTCCAACCCGTCCGTGCTGACCCAGATATCCTAAATTAATATAGTCCCATTTGCCAGCATTTGGCCCCATATCCCTCTAAACCCTTCCTATCCATGTCCCCATCCAGATGCCTTTTAAATAGTCATTGTACCAGCCCCCATCCACTTCCTCTGGCAGCTCGTTCCACACACGCACCACCCTCTGCGTGAAAAAGTTGCTCCTCAGGTACCTTTTAAATCTTTCCCCTCTCCCCTTAAACCTATGCCCCCCTAGTGTTTGACTCCACTTCTCTGGAGAAAAGACTTTAGCTATTCACCCTATCTGTGCCCCTCATGATTTTATAATGTCACCCCTCAGCCTCCGACGCTCCAGGGAAAATAGCCCCAGCCTATTCAGTCCCTCCCTGTAGCTCAAACCCTCCAACCCCGACAACATCCTTGTAAATGTTTTTTCTGAACCCTTTCAAGTTAACAACATCCTTCCTACAGCAGGGAGACCAGAATTGAACGCAGTATTCCAAAAGTGGCCCTGACCGATGTCCTGTACAGCCCCAACATGACCCTCCCAACTCCTATACTCAACGCACTGACCTATAAAGGCAAGCGTACCAAACACCACCTTCACCGCCCTGTCTACCTGCCACTCCACTTTCAAGGAACTATATACCTGCTCCCCCCAAGGTCTCTCTGTTCAGCGACACTCCCCAGCACCTCACCATCAAGTGTATAAGTCCTGCCCTGGTTTGCCTTTCCCAAAATGCAGCCCCTCACATTTGTCTAAATTAAACTCCATCTGCCCCTCCTCGGCCCATTGACCCGTCTGATCAAGATCAACGTAACCTTCTTCGCTTCCTCCAAATTTCCAATTTCAGTGTCATCTGCAAACTTACTGACCATCCCTTCTCTGTTCACATCCAAATCATTTATATAAATGACAAAAAGCAATGGAGCCAGCACCAATCCCTGTTGCACATTGAGGGTGGTGGTGGGGGTGGGGAGGGTGTCACAGGCTGAAAGGCGACCCTCCAGTCATAAGGACGTCAGGAGCGGCATTTGGCCCATCGAGCCTGCTTCTGCTGTTCAACAAGATCGTGGCTGATCCTTTCCAGCCCCACTTCCCCGCCCGCTCGCCCTAACCCTCAATTACTTCTCTGCTCACAAATCTTTGCCTTAAAAACAAACAAACATTCACCAAGGCAGCCTCACTAGGGCGGGGGAATTCCACACATTCACCACCCTTTGGGTGAAGGGGTTCCTCCCCAACGCGGACCTAAATCTGCTCCCCGCTCTTCGTTTCGAGGCTATGCCCCCTTGTTCTAGATTCACCCGCCAGTGGGAACATCCTCCCTGTTCCTGTCTTATCTGTTCCCTTCATCATTTTGTATGTTTCTGTGAGATTCCCCCTCATTCTTCTCAATCCCAATGAGTACGCTCCCAGTTTACTCGATCTCTCCTCGTAAGCCAACCCTCTCAACTCCAGGATCAACCTTGTGAACCTCCTCTGCTCCCCCCCGCAGTGCCCACTGCATCCTTTCTCAAGTAAAGAGACCCAAACTGTACACAGCGCTCCGGCTGTGGCCTGACCAGAGTTCCAACAGAGTTGGAAGCCTCACTTGGTGCACCCTTGATGCTATTCTCTCTGAATTTGTTCTTGATGTTTCTTTTTTTCTCCCCCTTCCTGGATTGCAGAATCTGTGACTGAATCTGCCTTTCTTGCTGAGGTGCGTGTGTTTATGGGATGTTACTACATGGAACAGTCCATTAGTAGTAGGTATTGTACCCATTATTTGGCAACGTTTTCCAATCGTTGTCGTTCCCAATTCCTGTTTCTGTGTTTGCACTTAAACTATAGCGTTTAAACAAACTGCGTTTTTGCGCACCTTCGGTCGGATTGTATCTGGAACACAGCACTTCACGTTTGGCTTTGACACACCTTAAAAAGGTTAAGATGTGAGCTACTTTCTTTGAGTATTTCGAGGGGGCCTGCTCTGATCCATAATAGCAAACCTGCCCCAAACCCCAACAACCCCCAACGTAAACACTTCCAGGTCACGGTCCAGATGCGCGCAAGCCACGATCCATACAGGATCATCTAGCAACCCCGTGGCCCACAGACTCTCACCTGTTTGCTCACCAGGTCCTGCAGCTCCTTGGGGTCGGCCTTTCCTTCCCCTCCGGGGGCGGCTTTGACTCCTTCGGGGGTCTACGGACAAAGCACACGCAGTTACGGGAAAAAAAGAAAACACGATTAGAGCCGCAATTCCCCAGTGCCCTACTTTCGCTGCCTGAGGACTTTAGGAGAGAGGACACAAAAAGGAGGCTCCTTTTCTCTGGAATTTAGGAGGTTAGGGTGGGGGGCGGGCGGAGAGGTGCGATCTGATCGAAGTCTCCAAGGGCAGACAAAAATGAATTTACTTTCACTTTAAAACGAGCGGCAGGATCTTTACTCTGTATCTAACCCCGTGCTGTCCCTGTCCCTGGGAGTGTTTGATGGGGGGACAACGCAGAGGGAGTTTTACTCTGTATCTAACCCCGTGCTGTCCCTGTCCCTGGGAGTGCTTGATGGGGAAGTTAGGTGGAGGTGGTACAGTGTAGAGGTAGCTTTACTCCGTATCGAACCCAGGAACATCGGGCACAGGGTTTGAAAGTGCCTTTCAGAATCTGAAGGCTCCCCAGGGGTGGGGTAAGGAGAATTATTTACCTTCTGTCCTCCGTATTTCTTCCTCAACTCCTCGATCTGATCGGCCTCCAGTTTCTTGAACAGTGGACTGACCTGGAAAGGAATGAGCACATGATCACTCGCTCACTGCAATTGCAGGGGATCGAGGACAGTCTGCAGCTTTTAGAAACTGGAGGCGAACTCACATTTTCTTGGCTGACTTAGTCTTGACATTAAGCACATAATTGCAGTCCTATGGCATGGAAACAGGCCCTTCGGCCCAACCAGTCCGTGCTGACCATAATCCTAAACTAAACGGGTCCCACCTGCCTGCTCCCGGCCCATATCCCTCCAAACCTTTCCTATCCATGTACTTATCCAAATGTCTTCTAAATGTTGTAACTGTACCCACATCCACCACTTCCTCTGGAAGTTCATTCCACACACAAATCACCCTCCGTGTAAAAAACTTTGCCCCTCGTCTGTTTTTAAGATCTCTCCCCTCCCACCTCAAAAATATGCCCCCGGTCTTGAAATCCCCTACCCTAGGGAAAAGACACCTACCTTCAACCACATCTCTTGCCCTCATGATTTTATAAACCTCTAAAGGTCACTTCTCAACCTCCCACGTTCCAGTGGAAAAAGTCCCAAACTATATTTATAACTCAAACCCTCCACATATAGCAACATAGAATCATAGATCATAGAATTGGGGCGGCACGGTGGCACCGTGTTTAGCACTGCTGCCTCACAGCACCAGGGACCCGGGTTCGATTCCAGCCTCGGGTGACTTCTCTGTGTGGTGTTTGCACATTCTCCCCCGTGTCTGTGTGGGTTTCCTCCCACAGTCCAAAGATGTGCAGGTTAGGGTGGATTGCCCCATGTGTAGATTAGGCGGGTTATAGGGGGATGGGTTTGGGTGGGAAGCTCTGGAGGTTCGGTGTGGACTTGTTGGGCCGAAGGGCCCGTTTGGTAATCCCTACAGCGTGGAAACAGGCCCTTCGGCTCAACAAGTCTACACCGCCCCCCCGAAAAGCATCCCACCCAGACCCACTCCCCTACCCCTGTATTTACCATGTCTAATTCCACCTAAACTAAACATCCCTGAACACTCTGGGACAATTAGCATGGCCAATCCATCTAACCTGCACACCTTTGGACTGTGGGAGGAAACCCACACAGACATGGGGAGAACGTACAAACTCCACATGGACAGATAGTCGCCCGAGGATGGAATCGAACCCAGGTCCCTGTCCCTGTGCTAACCACTGAGCCACCATGCTCCCCCATCCTGGTAAATCTCTTCTGAACCTTCTCCAGCTTAATAATATCCTTCCTATAACAGAGCAACCAGAACCGGACACAGTTGCTCCAGAACAGGCCTCACTAACATCCTGTACAACTTCAATGTGATGTCCCCAGCTCCTACACTCAAAGGTCTGAGCAACGAAGGCAAGTGTGCTAAACACCTTCTTCACCGCCCTGTCTACCTGTGACGCAAACTTCAAAGAATTATGTAGCTGAGCCCCTAGGTCTCTCTGTTCTACAACACTACCCAAGGCCCTACCTTTAACTGTAAGAGTCCTGCCCCTGTTTGTTTTACCAAAATGCAACACCTCGCACTTATCCAGATAGACCTCTATCTGCCATTTTTCAGCCCATTGACCCATTTGATCAAGATCCCTTTGCAAAGCCTTTGATCAGATTTCCGCATGGTAAACTAATTAGTAAAACTAGGTCTGGTGGGATTTTGGGTGAGCTTGCCAATTGGATACAAAATTGGCCTAACGGCAGGAGACAGCGGGTGGAGGTAGAAAGCTGTTTCTCGGACCAGGGGCGTTCGGCAGGGATCGATTCTGGGTCCTCTTTAGTCTGTTGTTCGTGTGAATGATTTGGATGAGAATATAGAAGGCATGGTCAGTTAGTTTACAGACAACGTCAAAATTGGTGGGACAGTAAGAGCCTTTAAGAAGGATTTGTTATATTCTGTTTCTCTGTCACCTCAGTGGTCCTGGAAAGTCTGCTTTAGAGGCAGTGGGGAAACAGCTCTGAGAGTTATTCTACCTTTCGATGAAAGCAGCACGAGTAGTTGGAGTCAGGCTCATGCGGACCCGCAGCTTCAGTTTAGCTTTCAATTGGGGTTTGGGACGAATTGACACAGCTCTCTCTCGGCTGCTAGATAGTTTCTTCCGCTGTTCCCTTCCCCTGGACTGGAAGAGATATGGCATGTGGGGAAAACTAGTTATGCTAAATCTTCCTTTGCCAAAGGGGTGTCTGTGGGGTGCTGCTATAATTTCGCGGTCGATGATTAATAGGTAAAGAACGTATTCTTTGGTTAAGTAAGGTAATAAAACTTATGCCAATTTTTTTTTGCTTGGATGTTAACTATGGTGTGAAAAAAATAAAGTGCATTTTGCTTAAAGGCCAGTAGTTTGACCAAACAAATCACCTCTGACACACAGCACCTTACACTTTCCCATAACTAAGATAAAAGTTAGGGTTCAGGCTATCATCTTGATATATTCTGAGGGGGTTTGGTCTGGTCCATAACACTACTGACCACAGAGTCATAGAGATGTACAGCACGGAAACAGACCGTTCGGTCCAACTCGTCTGTGCCGACCCAGATATCCTAAATTAATCTAGTCCCATTTGCCAGCACTTGGCCCCATATCCCTCTAAACCCTTCCTATCCATGTCCCCATCCAGATGCCTTTCAAATGTTGTAACTGTACCAGACCCCACCCACTTCCTCTGGCAGCTCGTTCCACACACACACCACCCTCTGAGTGAATATGTGGCTCCTCAGGTTCCTTTTTAAATCTTTACCCCTCTCACCTTAAACCTATCCCCCTCTAGTTTTGGACTCCCCCACCCCCTTGGGGAAAAGACCTTGTCTATTCACCCTATCCATGCCCCTCATGGTTTTATAAACCTCTATAAGGTCACCCCCTCAGCCTCTGACGCTCCAGGGAAAACAGCCCCAGCCTCTCCCTGCAGCTCAAATCCTCCAACAACCTTGTAAATCTTTATCTGAAACTTTTCAAGTTTCACAACATCCTTCCTGTAGCAGGGAGACCAGGATTGAACACAGTATTCCAAAAGTGGCCCTAACCAATGTCCTGTCCAGCCGCAACATGACCCTCCCAACTCTCTGTACTCAACGCACTGACCCATAAAGGCGAGCGGACCAAACACCTTCTTCACCGCCCTGTCTACCTGCCACTCCACTTTCAAGGAACTATGTGCCTGCTCCCCCCGCAAGGTCTCTCTGTTCAGCGACACTCCCCAGGCCCACACCATTAAGTGTATAAGTCCTGCCCTGATTTGCCTTTCCCAAAACGTGCAACTGTATGACTCGGGAGTTACATGGAGGGTTGTGTTAACTTGCGGAGAGAATAAATGATGGCAATATTCTCAGGGAAGCCACTTTGCCAGCTCCCACGCCGAGCAGTAGGAGGGGAGCAGGTACTGATTTGGTGGGGGGTGCTGCCAGAGCTGGAGTTTTGGCACTTTTGCGATTCTGTCCCGACGGTAAGGCCTATCCGGTCTCCACTCCTTACCGTGCCGATCCGGTGGCCAGCCTGCAGCATGCAGACAAAGCGGTCAGTCAGCGAGTTGCATTCCTCTGGCGCCTGCAGTTGCCCCTGGATGGCGGCGCTGACAGTCGGCATGTAGGGCAGGAGCATCACGGATAGCAGGCAGGTCATGTTCACGGCCACCCCGGTCACTGTGCCCGCTCGCTTCCTGCTCAGGGAGGGTGGTGGGGGGGAAAGAGAGAGAGAGAACAGAGAGAGAGAGAACAGAGAGAGAGAGAACAGAGAGAGAAAACAGAGAGAGAGAGAGAACAGAGAGAGAGAGAACAGAGAGAGAGAGAACAGAGAGAACAGAGAGAACAGAGAGAACAGAGAGAACAGAGAGA